TGCACTGCCTTCAGCGGCTGAGTCAGTTCCAGCCCCGTCGAGCAGGTGTAGTCTGGTGAGATGTCAGAAATCAAAGCAGACAAATTTGTCTCTCTAGTGCTCATACAGCTGTCCATGCTGGGCCCAGGAAGCGTGAAAAAAGTTGTTTCAATGCAGAGAGAAAGAAAGGAGGTGTGGGGGCCAAGGGACCAGAGTGGGGAACCAACCTGCATTGCTGGGCATGCAGATAGCAGCAGCAAGTGGTGGAGTAGAAGCTCAAAGTGATGTCCAGGAAAACAAAAGGGAATTATAGAATTGGATTTAGGGGCAGTGGGGGAAAGTGAGAAGTTGGGAGCAGGCTTGCAGTGGGATTACAGAGGTGATGGAAGCTGGTAAAGAGGAGCTGGGAAACTGTCTGGTGATGAGAGACTGGGACAAGGAAGCAGTGGGATGAAGTACAGTACCAACAATGAACAAATACCCACATGAACGGGAGACAGACTGAAACCCAGTGGAGATGGAGAAAGTGAAGACTGGCAGAAAGAGAGTACTGTAACTGCAGTCTGTGAGGAAGGTTGGGATCTCTGAAGGGGAAGATTAGTTTTGAGTTATGAAAACAAGGTGCCAAGGAAATGACGACTAAGATGGGAAAGATATGGAGGACAGATTGATTTTGGAGCCCAGAACAGAAGAATCAGGACTTGGGCAAGGATGAGCTGGAGAAGACTGAGGAGGACAGGTCACACTTAGGATGAATGGACACAACCTCCTACATCTTCTACAGAATATTCTACTCCTTAGGATGTCTGACTTCAATAACCCTCTGCCATTGGCAGATGTATATGAATCCCACTGGCAAACCACTAGAGCTTGGTGAAATGCAGAGTAAGAAAGTAGTGCTGCTAAGAATAATTCTGTTCTTGGCAAGGACCTATGTAGTATTCTTAGCAAGGTTAATCTCAATTATTATTTGTAAGGATGTCAGTAACTACTTTTTCCACTTTGCAGGAGGAGGAGGAGGAAAGGGGGTTCAGTTTACTTACCAAAAAAGCCAAAAGGGAAATTGCATTTAACACAGACCAAAGCAAAACATGTTGAAAAGGCATTAGTACAGTTGTAAAGGCAAGTATTCGACAGGTATAAGACAACAGAAATTAAGTATGTAAGTACAGTCGTAGTCTTCCCTCTGTTAGGTATGCGTTACAGGGTGGGTAGTTTTCATCCCTTTTTGTCATAACTCAAAACTAGCCAATTCATTTGTCTAAATTTAAAAAAGTAATGCTAAGATGGCTTGATTTCCAAAAAGCTCTGTTAGGACTCAGGCATGGTTCCAACAAAGCTATGTCTGCCAAGCAGAAACCTGCTTATTTTCCTGCCAGCTTATCCACTCAGCTCCCAGCAGCCAACTTATGGGACTGTTAGCTTCCCAGATCCAGATTTTGGGACAGAGATAAGAGACAGGCAAGGGATTGGGAGTGGGAGGGGCAGCAGCATGCCACATCTTTGTGGGACAGAGTTATTTGGAGTCTGTGGACCTCTAGGGTAGGGGGCTATGCAGACAAGGACACCCATTATTCCTTAAAAATGGTACAACTGATTTCATGTTGTGTCTAATTGATTCTTCTGATCAGCAATGCAAAGAAGTAGGTGGCCTAAGGTTGAATAGCACATAAGTGCCCAGCTCCCAAGCTTTTGGCTTCCTGACAGCCTGCCAGGTAGGAGGTTGCACAGCAAGGCTCTATAAGCCCCTCTCTTGGGTTCTCTGGCAGTGGGGATTTAATTCTGAAGTTATTGTCAAGAAAATTTCTGTTCTATATGAGATCTCAGAGAGATTTCTAAAGAACGTCCTCAAGATTTTGCTTTTATTTGGATATTTGTAAATCTCTAAAAACTCTACAGAATGGGCAGGCCTCTTGTATTTAATTACATGCTCATGCTGTTGCATATCATTATTTGGATGCTGTTTTTAGTAAGTCCTCATTCAAGATGGAACAAGGATACTTCATGTACTGGAGAGTTTGGAAAGTGGGCTGTAAATGTGGCAGAGGGCTGCAGGCAAGAAAGGCCACTTGTATGCATAATGCAGATAAATGCTGCCCTGTAGTGCCAAATTCTGTATTCACCTTTGCCACAGATCTCTCAGATAATGCTAATTAAATGACTTAAATCTGTCTTTCCTAGGGAGTTGCTAAGCTAGGTGATGTGACTGATCTGAAGAAGGAAAAAGAACTCTCAGAAGCAACTTCATTTCAATGGGAGCAGAGCTTTGAACCTATAAATGCTATATAACAGCAGATGATCTCAAAAATCAAGCTGTAGGCTTCTGTAATTGAATTTACAAAATTTCTGGATACTTTTAAGTTCAGTTTGTGCCTCAGTTGCCATTTGCCAAAGTGCTCCTGATCATCCAGATGGGTTTTGAAAATGAATGCATTGTTTCTGAAACACTTTGATACCACAGAGATTATCATCTCAGAAGAGCCCATGACGAAATTGATAATTATGTCTTCAGAACATAACATGGAGGAAACAAAGTACCAAATAACAAGCAATTAACTATCATCTATTCTGGACCACTCTTCAGATGACAGGTCTGAGGTCACCCAGGAAGCTTGCAGCAGAAATGAGAACAAACCAAAGGACCCAGGATGTCGAGCTGGGCAATTATTCTCCCCCTATTTCTCTGGAGAAGAAATAAGTATTCTGATGGTATGAAAAGCTGAACTATAAATAAGGAGATTTAGGCACTGATATTAAACCCCCTTATAATGTCATATTTCAGAGCACTTTAAAGCTCTAGTATGCAAGGTTGGCCATACTTTGTATTTCTTGGAATGAAACATAAGTGCCTGAAAACTCATCACATTAACTTTGGACTCTATAAAATGAAAAGACAGCAAAAACATTGATATTTTGAAGCAACAGGCCACTTTTGGCTCTCTGCTAATGCATTAGACAAAAACACTATGTAGTTACAGGAGAAAACAATACATAGCCATCTAAAAAACCACTGTGGCAATGCTGACCTCCAGCTACAATAGCAAAACCTTGAGAATTGTTCAGGTCTGAACATACAAAGCTCGCCTTTGACATTTTGGGCTTAGCATATGAGGACAGGATATTAGCCTTTTTTAAATACCAATGTCTTTGCAAGGCCAGGGGATGCTGAAGTAGCTATGGCCCTTTGCAGCCAACTTTGGCAACTCCAGATCAATTGGTATGGGCCACACTGACACATCTGCTTTGTACAGCCCATGGATCACTTTTCACACTGCAATTTTCACTGCTTCGATGCATCTGCCTTACGGAGCACATGCAGGGTGAGGCTGTATCACAGGTGCAAGGCAGCTCAGCCCACTGGCACTCTTCAAATGTGCCATATGTATATGCAAGTTATTCAGAGTACGTGCAGTCACTCTTTGAGATTTCTCACCAGACAATGGCCCTAGCAGCTGAATATCCAGAAATACAGTAGCGTACTTTCAAGGAAGTCAAATCATTGATAAAAGCTACAAAATTGATAGAGTTGGCAATCTGCTTTCTTGGGGAGGAACTGTCAAGTTTGAAATTGTAACCTAATGGAAGAAAAAACAGCATTGCACCTGAGGTACCAGCTATCATGATCTAAATACCCGAGTTGTAAGGCTAGACTACTGGATTTATTTTTTTTTTAAATTTTTTTTTTGGTCTGGCTACATTCATTTTAATAGTCATTTGAAGTGTGGTATCATTTAAGAGGCAGCAGTACCCATAAGATGCACCATGGTGAACTGTTAGTGCAGCAGCAACACAATTACTAACTTTGAATTCAGTTCCTAAGCTGCATCAATAGGTCTGAGATATTACTGTAATGTCAGGTAACGTACCACATACATGAAAAGAAACAGTGAAATTAGCTTTTTATACTGCAGTATATACTGGTCACAGACCAGTGCCCCTGATGGTCTCAGGTGTATGAGATGACATGACTTTCAGAGTCCAAATTGTTAGTGGCTTAAAGATAATCCCCTAACCTCTTGAAATAATAAGCAATTACATCACTACAAACTGAAAACAAGAAAGGGCTAAACAAACAGAACAGAAAGGATTTAAATGTTGTCTGTAACAAAGTCATTTTACCTTGGTGTTCTCTCTCCTCTGTATCTTATCTAAGAACAGATATACAAATCAACCTTCCTTTCTTTCTCTCCTCTTCCCACCAAAAAATGCCCAAGGAAGATTTCCAAGAACTTCAGGAACAGTGAAATTATACCTCAATTCTTCGTACAAGTTCACTTTAAGTGCACTATTTAGTGGCCCCATTGCTCAAAACCAGGTGCTAACGCAATCAGGTTTTCTGCCTTTTGTATCCTTGTGAATAGGTCTGAACATTGCCAATATCAGAATAATCAGAACACAATGCTAAAAAATTCCTATTCTTATCTATTGCTAGTCTTTCAGGTCCACCTGAACATCCTAGTTTGGGACTATTTCAATAGATTTGAAGCATCCTATTAGAAACTCAAGTCACATTTATTTACAGTGCTACCTTTCTAAGCATCAAGAACACTCAGTAAAGCACACTTAATAAGAGGAAAGCAAGGTTAATTATTTTAGTTCCTGTCTCTACTTATTGGCAGAAACACATACATTAAAATTCTCATCTCATTTTTTAAAAGCTGGAAAGTTATCGGCTAATGAAAATGTGAACTTTGTCCCCCAGCAGATAAACAGTCACCAGTGAAACTCAGTTGACAAAACATTAATCTACTGCCTTAGTTGTTGTAGTGAAAGCTGCTCATTGAAAGCTTGCTACTGCAAGGCTTCCACTTAGAAAGCAACACTTTGCTAGTTGAATGAAGCAGGTTAAAAGTCAAGAGAGAACAAGATACAGTGACTGATTAGCATCTATGCCATTATTAAAAATAAACACAAATCTGGATTAACCTTCTGTCTGACAGCACAATCCTATGCGTGCAATTCTGTGTTTCTATAAAGGACACAGCTATTAGGTTGGCTCTAGTTTACCGAGTTGACCTCACCTTTTACTGTCACATGTACACTCTGGCTGGTGGACAGCTGGGGTTGAACGAGGACATTGCATGTGTATTCACCCTCATCTACTTCCTTCTGCACATCTGAAAGCTTCAGTGTCCCATTGTTCTCAAATGCCACTTGGCGATGGTTAAATGGTAGCAGGTTAGAGTTCTTGTACCACTTGATGGAGTAATAAGGGTAGCCGATCACACGGCAGTGGATGTAGGTGTCCCGTCCAGCTATTGCTGTGATGTTCTTCATTGGTCGAATGCTTGCTGGCCCTAGAAAGGTAAAAAGAAACTCTCAAAAACAATTTAAAGGCACATTTTCTTGAGGGAATATGCATAGAATTTTTCTGAATATATAAATGTTAACAACATTTACAGATGCAGCTCACATACTTCTTAGCATTTGACAGTTTTTGCTTTTAAGAGCTACTTAAGCAGTTTCTCTGATCTTTATATGCTCTAGTTTTTCCTCACCCTGCAGCATACATACTAATTATGTGGGGTATATGTTTGCATTATCCAACATTTGCCTGATAAAATCTTTGCTGCATTACAAATTAAAAGGTTGAGGATGATTTAATTAATGTGAAATACTAAAGCTGATACAAAGCTAGAATCCTGTTACACATTAGAACACTTACAAAGCTTTTTTTGACATATATAAAGTATAATACCATGAGGATGGGTATTATGCCATGTAGAGATAGAAATGCAAGCTAAAGTACTGTATATATGAATAATTACGATGAATGTTGGATAAGTAAAGGAGGAAAGGAAAAGAAAAAAAAAAACATGCACAGCAGGACTTAAGTAAAGAAAATGTGAACTAGTAGAGATGAGTATAGGAAAAATAGACCATAGAACACAAGCCAAAGGGTTCTTCCAACATTTAACCATACCACACACTTTCTAGATGGGGCTGGAGAGGCAGTGTTGGAAAAGAGAGGGGGGAAGAAAAGGAGAGGAAAAACAGTGAGTTGGTTTTGGAATTTCAGGACTCATTTAATCACATGCAACAATCTTCTTCTCCACTACAATGAGTTATGTGTGTTTTTTTGAGGAGCTGATTTGACAAGCACCTCTTACGTTTATTCGAGCCTGGTACAGGACGACTCCAGCAGAGTTGTTGGCAGTACAGCGATAAACTCCACCATCTCGGACCTGAGTGTTAGAGACGTTCAGATAACTGACCACGTTGCCTTCAGAAGTGATAATCTGGCTGATACGATGACTGCTGTCCTTCACAATGGGATCTTCATCCAGTGTCCAAGTGATCGTAGGCAGAGGAGTCCCCTTCACATTGCACATAAGGGAGACGGGCTCTCCCGGACTCACCACTTTCTCACTGAAGGCAGAAATTATTTTGGGAGTTCCATCTGCCAAGGGAAAGAAAAGCAGGAGAATAGTACCTATATGATGCAAAGCTTGCTCCCTCTATACTGGAGCCTATCATGTGAGCCGAGATCTTTTTTAGAAGCGATGCAACAATTGTTTTCCAGGATGTAACTACTGAGAAAGGGAAACAAATTTTGGTAGTAGAGTACTTAAATGATCCTCTGCTTACTACATGTTTCTTTTTCATCTTCTGAGAAACCTGGTACTGACTGCTGAAGGAAAAGCACTTGAGCAAATGGACTAGGGCTCTGCACAGCTACATAACTACCAGGGTCTTGCGGAAAGGTGTTAAAGCCATGCACATCACAAAAGACGTAAAAGAAAACCTCAACACCTTTGTAATTTTTCTTCTCCTAGTAGATTTCAGCTCATTGGAAATCTAAGGATGAATCCTGCTGGCAAAAGCTGGACATAACTTGCATAGGCTAATTTCACACAGCTGTGCCAATGCAGTTCAGTCCTGACCCACAACATCTCATTTAGAAAAGTATTAAATTAAGCTTTTCTGAACTCAGATTGCCAGTAGCAGCAGTGATGCCAATTTCTTTCTGTGGTCATTTTATGTTACAGATAAATATTCCTCTGAAATGAGAGCATTCAAATGCTTTCTCTTGTGATCTGTGTCACAATTCACTCAGCCTCTACCAGGCAAGTGAATAAAGAGAATGGATGGAGATGGAAAGTTTGAAACTGTAAGTAGGGAGCAGGATTAAATAACTACCTATCCAGAGAGTTTAGCGAGGTAACATTTAGGAGTGCCAACACTCTGCTATTAGTTAGGAAGTTCTTTCTAAGATCATGCAATGCACGTTTGTTCTCCTTTGAAAATCATATTTCAAACCTGTATCTACAAGGAATTTCAGTGTAATTGGGAGCAAAAGGCCACACACCAAGACCAGTACGCAGAACACAGGAAGCAAACCAGTCCAAAGTTTGAACAACAGTGCTGTAGGCTGCTGTCTGGTTTTAAAGAGCCAAGTGGCAAGAAAGCTAAATTCAGTGTTCGTACAGTATCAGTGCCTGCAAGAAACAGAAGGAAAAGCCCCATTACCTAGAGAGGGGCTAAAGACTTAAAAACTAACCTTGTACATGTAGCCCTTTAAGGACAACTCCTTTCAGTGTTACACAGGACAGAGGGTGTCAGGACAGGACTGACAAGTCTCATGATCTATGTGATGCACTATTTGTTTGTGTACAGTATGTACTGTCTCTTCCTGTACACTCTGCCATGTGTTACCCATATGTCTGGGAACTCATGTCTCCCCTGGCAATCACAATTCTTACATTGCAATTTCAGTGCAACCTCACCCAGGAAACTGAGGGAACTGGCACGATGTATGCAAGACTCTCCATGAAATATGCTCAGTCATAGCAGAATTAAAAACAGGGCTGCAAAATTCCCTTGTTTGCCCCGTAGTGAAAAACATAAGCCACTGCCATTCTCTGGCTGTGGAAAGACCTCAGCATCCCTGAACGAGGACTTGCTTTGATTTAATTTCATCATTTTCTCCTCTTCCTCCCTCTCCCTTTCATTTCTGTCCCAATGGTTTTGTGACAGTGTTCTACTTTCTTTATTTATTTTCATCTCTGATTCTCTTCCTTTCCTTTGCTATGTATTAGATACCGTCATCCCTCAGAAAACAAAACAACAGCAACAAAAAAGCGCTTTTTTTATCCCAAAAGAAAGTTGACACAGGACCAATAAATCAGTGAGTGTGCACACTCTGTAGCTCTGCTACCCCTCCTCCTCTTTTTTTTAATTCAAGTGACGGGCTTTTTTTTGGAGATGAAAGCAGACATTATTTTCCCAGTGAGACCTGAGTGTCTTTGAAATCTTTCCTGCTGTTGCTCTCTGATAACCTGCACTCTCTCAACATCATGATAGATTATCAATACGCTCTTTAGGCATTCTTAGTCACAGGAGGTGGTTGCCGAGGTAACTCGGTCCAGGCAGGTAATCTCTTCTTTTTTGATAAAGACTCTAAAAATAGTGTCTATGTCATGACTGCACTACAGCTTCATTAGTGAACTGGTTCTGTGCAAGTTGATTACTTTCCTCACATGACTATCCTGTAAAACTTTGTGCCAGTTAGTTTAGATAATGTCCAAACCTTCAGCCAATATACCCAATCAGAAAAGCCATGCCCAGAAGGAAATGTTTGGAGTTGAATAGAGACCTCTTCTCTCATCTCTTCCTGAAAGCTAATGTCAAAAATCAGCACTGCTGCCAGCACTTACACCACAATTTTTTTTTAATTATTTTTTATTTTTTAAAAAAGGACTGGAAGGACTGCTCAAGAGGGATTTTTGTTTTCAGATTCATTTTTTTCATTCCACTACTTTTTGCTCCGAGTGGGTCACAATAAATCCCACTGATAGTTCATGAGTATCCTCGTCTCCTGTCTAGGGTCCATTATTCCTTGCTTTACAGCAATGACACCAAATATAACATACATAGAGATCAGAATTGCTAAACAGGTAGTGACTGACCTTCTAGTACCACCTGAACATAGTCTTGAGCAGACATCTTGTCCTTGCGCACAAAGCACTGGTAAGCTCCACCATCACTCTTGGCCATGCCATCCATAATAAGGTTCTCCCGGTTGACGCCAGTGATCCGGAAATTGTTACCAGGGTTGATGATTTCACCATTATGATACCAGGAGAGCTCCTGGTCCTCAGTTCCCGTCACACTGCAGGACAAGGACACTTGACTACCAACACTGCTTTTTACCTTCCGTGGGCTAATTGTGGCTTTTAGTGGTTCTGAAGTTTTAAATCAAAATAAAGAAGAGAGAAAGGGAAATAGAGAACACTAAGTATGCGAGGGGTATTTACATGCAATTAACAAATTCAATCTCAATTAAGGAAAACAATTAAAATCACCCTTACAAAAAAAAACAAACCCAAAAACAACCCAAACAACCCCAAAACCCAAAAGAAAACAAAACAAAAAAAAAAACCCCGCAAGCAAACAACAGATGACTGTGTTTACTCTAAACAAGCATTTCGGCCACCAACATCCATGACACAAAATGTAGATCTATAGGGATAACTTATTTAACGTGACATAATCCTCTAGACCTAAATGAACAGTAGAAGCAGATCTACTCAGTAGCACCATTGGCGCAGAGGGCCTAACAATGGCACTAGGCATATTTTGGGAGGGTAGGACATTACTTCAGTTTAGTTCAGTGTGGACATTTAAACTGTTTAATTAGGTGCATTGCTGCAGCTCACCTTCTAGTTTAACTTCCTGCAAAAGGAACCCAGTTCACATATTTCAAAACCACTCCCTGAATGTGAACAAGTGCAGTAGATGTCAATAACCAGGAGATTAGCTTTTAAGAGTGGAAGATTGACACTAAAATGCTAATATAGGTGCACACATAGACATCTATAGGATCTGTTCACATGTGAGTGTTTCTGTGTGTGGGCTCACAATTTTCTTCTTCAATATGGGAAGACTATAGTATTTTTAAATCATCCTTAAAATACAGTAGGACATAAGTAATGCAAGCTTTATATTGTAAAAAAAGAGGATAAATAGTGTTGGAAAAAAGTCATAAATGGAAATGCAAAGATAACAATCTTTATCCTGCCACCTAACAGTTACCAGCATTACTGAATGCAGATTTCATCTCATGCTTTGCATTTTTTGATTTGACTTCCTAATAAAGATAAGGAACTACTATCAACAGCAATATAATCTCTGATACTAAATACATACCAACCTATTTATCTTTTTACTTGCATACATGCATAAGCACACTTGTACACACATGCTTATACATAAGAATGTCCTCAGCTAACTCATTCACTTCACAGAAGATTTTATAAGGCACATATAGAGTAAATCTTTAGTGGCCCACTGGGAACAGATGTCTAGAAAAAACCACACAGGTCAGTGGCTTCAATCATTCTGAATCATAGACATGTATGTAACAGAGCTTTCCTCTACAATGGTCCAGCACAACAGTTAATCTGTGCTCATATGCATGTTACAAGTCACTGAACAACTCTATGTTTCCTATGCAAAAGACCACAAAGGCTCAAAACTGTCAATGACCCATTAAACAAAATAGACAGACTCAAATGCACCACCACCATCTCAGAGCCATGATGATGCCAGAAAGTGAACTACATCCTCCATTGCAGAGGAGGGTAAAATTTCATCATCCAGCTTTTACTTCCTGCCAACCTGATCCAGTAGATACTTACTGTCTGCTTGATCACTGAGTCATTAAATAAAATGTAGCACCAGGCACTGGGGATACTTTAGGAATCCCTAGTGATACCATTACATCATTTTGCTGGAAGTTTTGACTTTGTATCATACAACGCAGACTGGATTCAATTATTTTTTTACGAATACATTTAGAAGCAAAGCTCCTCTGTTACAATTCATGAATTACTGATCTTTGATATCGGTTTTATTTTGCCCAAATACATTATATGTAATTATTTGTGAAGGCATTCTTATGGCTTGAACTGTTCACAAACTTCTCCCTGTTCAGTTTGCTAGTCATGCTCTACAGGTGGAAACGTTAGTTCACAAAGCATTATTTCTATTCCAGGAAATATATATTTTTTTTTAACAAGAGAAGAACAACAATTTTCCAGTGTGGTGCTTCTGAGTAATAATTATCTTTGCACAATTTGTGAAACATTCGGAATATTCACACATGAATACTCAATTGAGAGGAGGCATGAGTATTCAATATTACCGAACAGCATGAGTCACAGCAATGAGAGTTTGGCAGCTTTATTCATTTGCAATTTCTTTTTAAGTATCCAGTTCAAGCTTCTAAATTACATATCGTCCATGTGATAAATTATATAGCTACATTATAAACTGCATCTATTTGCACTTCTGATCTTTCAATTGTCCAATGAGTTCATCTCCACAGAGCCTACTTTCTGTTGTTCCACAACTCTGAGAAATTTAAGCATTGCTGAAATAAAGTAGCAAAACAGAAGGTACAGCAAAATACAGTAACATATTCCCCGATGCAAACACCATGGCAAGAGGTAGCCTGAGAGCTTAACTCAGTCCAGGACTTACGTTTTACATACAGTCGCCCTATCATCTCAGCAGTCCCATAGTTGTTCCACACCTCGCAGACGTAGTTGCCTGAGTCTGAGGGACGCGTGTTCTCAATCAGTAGACCTGTAACTGTCTGCCGAAACCTGCTGTCAGGCTCCCAGGGAACATTGTCCTTCAGCCAACGATACTTTGGTGAGGGATGCCCTGATGCTTTGCAAGGCAGCTCCACTCGCTGTCCTGCCATGGCTTTACGGTGGTCAAACCCATCTAGAATAGATGGAGCTGAATTTGCTGGATCTGAAAGAATCACACAGAATCACAGAATGTCAGGTATTGGAAGGGACCTCGAAAGATCATCTAGTCCAATTCTCCCGCCAGAGCAGGATCACCTACAGTAGGTCACACAGGAACACATCCAGGAGGGTTTTTAATGTCTCCAGAGAAGAAAACTCCACAACCTCCCTGGACAGCCTGTTCCAGTGTCCTGTCACTCTCAGTGAAAAAGTTTTTCCTTATGTTTACATGGAACCTCCTGTGTCCCAGCTTGCACCCATTGCCCCTTGTCCTACCATTGGACATCACTGAGAAGAGCCTGGCTCCATCCTCCTGACATTTGTCCTTTACATATTTATAAACATTAATGAGATCACCCCTCAGTCTTCTCCAAACTAAAGAGACCCAGCTCCCTTGGCCTTTCCTCATAAGAGAGATGTTCCACTCCCTTAATCATCTTTGTGGCTCTGCACTGGACTCTCTCAAGCAGTTCCCTGTCCTTCTTGAACTGCAGGGCCCAGAACTGGACACAATATTCCAGATGCAGTCTCACCAGGGCAGAGTAGAAGGGAGGAGAACCTCTCTTGATCTACTAACCACATTCCTTCTCATCCACCCCAGGATGCCATTGGCGTGCCTGGCCACAAGGGCGCACTGCTGGCTCACGGTCATCCCGCTGTCCACCAGGACTCCCAGATCCCTTTCCCCTACACTGCTCTCCAACAGGTCTGTCCCCAACCTATACTGGTACATGGAGTTGTTCTTTCCCAGGTGCAAGACTCTACACTTGCCCTTATTATATTTCATTAAGTTTTTCTCTGCCCATTTCTCCAGCCTGTCCAGGTCTCGCTGGATGGCAGCACAGCCTTCTGGCATGTCAGCCACTCCTTCCAGCTTTGTATCATCAGCAAACTTGCTGACAGTGCACTCTGTTCCCTCATCCAGGTCGTTGATGAATATATTGAATAGTACTGGTCCCAGTACCCATCCCTGAGGGACTCTACTAGACACAGCCCTCCAACTAGACTCTGTCCCATTAACCACAATTCCCTGACTTCGTCCTTTCAACCAGTTCCCAATCCACCTCACTACTGGATCATCCAGACCACACTTCCTCAGTTTAGCTGTGAGGATGCTGTCGGAGCCACATCCACTGCTCTACCATCATCTATCCACCTGGTTATGTCCTCAAAAAAGGCTATCACGTTGGTTAAACATGACTTCCCCTTGGTAAAACCATGTTGAGAAACAGCAGTTTTCAATGGGAGCATTGAAACTCTTTCATTCACTACACAGTATGCTGATATTTTCTCTTGCGTTTTTTGACTCACTAGTCCAGTGTTTTATGTACTACAGTTTGCTACTGTGACCCAGCCATCAGTCTGTAATATCTCAGTAGTTGTGGCTGGGATCCAGCAGCATGTAGTACCAAAGCATCTCATGACTACTTGGAAAGCCTCTCACTGGATTATTTCTAGGTGGCAACCATTTCTCTGATCATCCTTCATGTCCCCTACCAGAGGAATGGAAAGCCAGAAATGTGTTGCCTTAAGAGTTATTACTGTTATCCCTGTACTATTTGACTAGAATGAAGCCAACACATTCTCCATGCTTCTCAGTGGTCTGAAGGCTTTGATTTAAAGGAGAAATTTATTCCCTTGTCAGGAGAGAAATGGGAAAAGACATAGGAATTTCTATCTTCAGTCTAACTGACAGAGGAGTCTTTTCTTCTCTGGAAAAAGAACTTGACAAGACCAACATACAACTTAATACTCCAACCTTCTGTGCTCAACTTACTGAGAAAAGCAGCTCTCAGACCAACACACTTTTGTAGCACCTGGTATATATTTATGTACCTCACAGAGGTCTGGCAGAGTGCCTTCATCAGAGGTGCATGTTCCCCACCAGAAATAGTACTGTGTTTGTGATTTCAACTTTTTAAGTTTGAAAACCTTTGAAGGAAGAGGCTGACGTGATTTACAGATCTGTGCAGCATGCAGCATGGTGGAAGCTCACCCTGAACCTATTCCAACATAAATACTGAACAATAAATTTCTCATCATATGCACCCACTTTGCTAATATTTCTGTCTCACAAAGAAACTCCACATGCTGATCAACTCCTTTTACTCCTATCAATCTCTTTTTGGATATATCTACAGCATAGTTGCCTGGGTGTAGGTGTAGTTGCAACCACTTTGGAATTTTCAAGTGATCTTTCATTTAGCTAGCTCACGTACTGTTCACAGGGCAGCTGCAGCAAGTTCTTGCTGAGAGTTGGAGAGATTAAAGGAGTAGTTTATACTGAATTTAAGCTACTCAAGAGATAGTGCAATTAGTACCTGACCTAGTTAGTTTAAAACTAGCTTAGAGATATTTTAATGAACTGCAGTCACACCTGGGAGGGTACACTTGAGAGCAAATAGCTAGAGGCACTATGCAAGTTACATTATCAACACAGAAACTAAAATTGTGATGGCAAACAAATGGGCTAAGTAAATTTTATGTGACTATCTACACAAATGCCTAAATGCCAAGTTCAATGAAAGATGGACACAGAGGTTTTTCTGCTCTCTAGGTGCCAGCAAAAAGTTGAGCCACTGAAGGCAAAAGCACATTCAGTTTACATTAACTTACTGTCTGTCTCATTAGAAATGTGCGAGCGAGTAGTTAAACAAATTATTTTGCATGCATCAGTAGCCTCAAGGTCCGTATCTGGCATCCAGATGGGTTATAATTTTGAGCTTGCCATGCTGTTTATGTCTGGCTTAGTGAAAGCACAATCTGCCAGGATACTATTGGGAAGGCCAATGTCAGTTTGACTAATTGATTAGCCAGCTCCTTTCTTGCCTTTTGAATCATCAGGTTTCTATGTTTTCAGTGCATGTGTGTGCAGTCTGAAGAATTAACTCAGTAAAAATGAAAGCATGTAAGAAATTACAGCTCTGGCTGTTAGGAAGGTTACATCTACATGAAATAAATTTGTTCAGTTGAAAGCAATAATTAAATAATAAAAAAGTAGAAGGGACTTTTAAAGGTATTGTCTGTGCATGCCTACTCAAAACTCACAGTAGCTTTGTATCTTCTCCACATGCTTTTAACTTCAAAAGACTTTCTGAAGGATATATGTGGTCCCATTTGCAATCTTTTAAGTACAAAAATACAAAGCACCCCACAGACTGTGAAACAGAATGGGTGTCACTGGGGGGAAAATTAAAGTAATGATAAGGAAAAGTTATGGCTAGTAAATATCACACTCCAACAGCCTCCTAATTTGCTGTGCAAAACCACCTCAGACAACAAGCTGAGTGCAACGGCAAAGCAACCACTGCCTTCCTGCCCCCATGCCTAGGCAGAAGCCCAGGAAGCCAAGCAGGCTGCCCTCAGGAGCTGGGGGCTATAGCACCAGATGCCATAGGAGGCACAGCTCCCTTCTGAAGCTAACATTTCGTACTCTTCAAGAACAGCACACCACTTGTCTATCCGAAGTTCACTTCACTTTTTCCCTTCTCACACTGAGCCCTGGCAGTAGCAGCCCAGCCTGGAGTCTCATCCACAGAAAAGCTAAAACTGGGATTTGCCTATGTACTTGAGAAGCCTTCAGCTAGTTCTTACAGAGGAGGTATTTAAAATATATTAAGAGATACACAGAATATTATTTTAGTGACCTGTTTTCTTGCACTCTATACTGATATATTTAAATGGATGGTAAAAACATCTCTTTGGGATGTCCCTGTAACAGACTCCTCTTTAGCGCTCCTACACTGTGTATATTCCATTTAAGGGGGGTGGGGGGGAAGGAATGGGGAGAGAAAAAGAAAAAAGCACAAAAGAAATCTGAGTTTTCATTTGCAATCACCTGCAATGAGGCAAATAGCAAAGTAACATAACCTAATTCCAATATGTGATATGGACTCTTCTGAATTATTATTTTACTATGTGCAGTCAGCTGGAAATGACTTCTAGCAAGGACAATGGTGCAAAAACTAAGGCAAAATACTGTGTATTTGTTATTATGTTCACAGTACTTTTCTCACTCTTTCAAACAATAACAAAGCTTAACTCATATTAAAAATATGTCCAAGAGACTATGATCAATATCCATCACAAACTATTTCATCCTCAAATGAGCAAAGAATATTTATGTATATAAAAGGCAGGCAAAAATGTAGATCTCATGCAAGCAGATCTTTCACAACTATGTTAATGACTTCTCTCATCTCAGTTCTTAAAAGACTCACTATTTTAAAATAAAAATTCCAGTAAAGAAAAAATAAAACATGTTAGAGAAGTATTAAGAGACAAACTCTGCTCATAATTGCTCCACTTGTTCAGTAGACTAACAGGACTGGAAATCAGAGCCCACTATAGCTCTAAGAGAGATTAATTAACCCTGTTGGATTAAAAAAAGCCAGCTATTGTACACGGGTAAAATTTCCTATTTTGATTTGGTCTGTGGAGGAGAACAGAAAAAGGAACTTCAGACAGAGCATATCTTTTAGTGTGCTTGCCCTGAATTACAAAGAAGTTAGAGCTTTCATTTTTCCCCTTTTGTTCAGTGAAATAACTAGGAATTTTCCTGTGGTAACCAAGATACAAGCCTGATTTTATTTATGTTACCACTGGCTCAGCCTTAGCATGATTTCATACGGAAGCAGACCATATTACGGAGCCAGTTAGAAGGACAGGACCCTGCCTATTCTTATAAGACCAAAGCAGACAGATTATTGTGCAGGAAAACTATTTCTTCATCTGTCTGGGAAAAGCAGAGGCAAGCATTTTACCCAAAGGAGACATATAACAAAGGAAGAAACTCCTGGATCTGACTGGTAAGTGATTTAAACCTGAACAATCACACTATTTTTTTTTTTTTATCATTAGTATATTAAAGTACTGAATTGTTTGTTCAGAGGGCTCCAGAATCCTTCAAAAATTACCATTTTGGAGGAGGACAGGAAGTATGTTACTAATGCAAAACCTTGTGCCTACCTCTGTCTCCCTTAGGGCTCTCAAACAGAGGGTGGAGACCTGATCACAAGATTATTTTTTTTTTTCTGACAAAAAGGTCAAAAGAAAAGAGGATAAGGTCAAAATGAGAATCACTCTACTGACTGTTAGATTGAAAAGGTCATCATACCCTGACTGATCTTTAGGGTTAAGATTTTTAGGGCAACTTAGTAACAGTGAAGAGGAGAAAAAGCTCTGTGGGGCTTCCAGTGGGATGGTGGGCATGTCTTCTGAAAGACATGTCTTCTGCAAGGCATGTACAGGGACAAAGAAGAGAGAGTCTGGAACGCAGTCTTAGCTAACTCCATGGATGTGGGAATACAATTGCAGAATTTCTCACATGCACAGGGTGCAGTCACAGGCACCCAGAAAATGAGGGAGAGGGAGGGAAGATGGAGAAGAGCTAACCCTATACAGAGATGTTTGAGAGCAAGTTCCAAACCCAGGCCTGGGGTCTGCTCCTCCTTCTCACCTCACCACAGCTGGCACCTCTTCTCACTGAGACAACATGGAGAGAAGGTGAGATTGGAGCAGTACCATCCTGACAGCTCTAAGCACACTAGCAAGAGGCATAGACAATACTTAGTATAACATGATATATAAAGGAGCACCTGATACAAACAGTCTTGCACTGTTGCTTTGTCGTGTTTCTCCAGTGTATCTGTGCCTTGTGATACATCGGTAGTTGTACAGTCCGTCTTCATTCTGTACGTCTAAAATATACAAGGCTCCCGTGGATGTGATGAGAAATCTAGGTCCTGAAAGACACAAGAATTTGCAGTGTTTAAAATATCTGCAGGTTGTTACTGTGTTCTGCTTGCTCGCTATGAGGGATGGACAACACAGGCTGGATGGTCCTGAAAGTTTTTTTGCCAGAGTCTAAAAGCTGTCAATTATAAGTTTACTAAGTACTCACTGCAAATGCGTACAAAGATATTAATTCATGTACACTTCTTATAAAAAAGGTAGGGACCTGTAAGGAAAACGTGAGCAATGAAGGAAAGAAATGTGCCATGGTCTATATCACAATCAACAATGAAAATCCAAGAGGCATCTGAAATAACATACAGTGTAAAGAACCAATGCAGAATTTAATCCAGTTTAATTCAATACTGTAGAGTGATATGAAAGCAATTCACCTGCAGAGCGTTAGAAAGACAGTCTGAGATGACACACATAATAAAACAATATTAGCCAAAATAGCATTTTTTGTCCAGGTACACCAGAAAACTGAGACAAAAAGATCATAAAAAGTAAAACTAAAGGGATCAATGAAAGCCAGAGAAACTCACAAAAAGAGGAATTTTTTTACCCCAAGAATATGGGACATATTTGCTAAAGGATTCTGGCCATAAGGCACAGCCCTGCTCCACAGCCTGCTTCAGGTGTGATGGGAAAGCAAGGACAGCAAACCCAGCCTTGCTGATGTTGCCTACAGTGCTGACCCCAGTGAAGTTGCACACACCTGTGCTAGCTGCCAGCTAGACAGCTTGAGTGTCAGGAACAGTCCTACCCCACCCTGTCCACATTTCCTGTGGGTTAATGCACTGCAGACCTTAGCAGGACGCGCTGCGCCCTCTGCAGCTCAGTACTTCCATGGCCAAGCTACTGGCAGAAGAAGAGTTAATACATTATCTGATCTGCTGTGGACTTTTTAAAAAATAATATTGCAGTCTGTGACTAGAGAAGCACATGTAAGCAGGTAGACAGACTCTGTGTCTAAAACAGCTTAAATAAACAGCACAGCACAGCACATGTTATTTAATATCCAAAGATTTTTTTTTTTAATTCTGCACACAAAGATTTATTTCAGGAAGAAAATTAGGTCCAGCAAAGTGACTGCCCCCTAAAACTGAACAAAATTGACATGTTCCTAGTCAGCATTTCTGCCAATGTTCATTCAACTTGAAAATAATATAATTGACATTTTCTTCAAATACATGCTTTTTATTAGTAACAGTAGAATATGTAGAAAACGTCATGGTACATATGTACACATTACAGTTTTGATCATTTGACACCTGCACAAATGTCTCTGTTCTCGTGTAAATGCATATTCTAAAAGCAAGGACACAAAAAACTAACATCTACATGCTACATGTTTACTCTAAAGCTTTTTCCATATTACAGTAAATTGAAGTAATATGGTTAGAATGGATTGCAAACTTGGACCTCACCTGGCCAGTCTTCCCATTTAAAAAATACTACAGTTTAAGTTATGTATGCTTTTCTAAAACTTTGAAACTGAACAAAATGCTAATATCTTTTCTTTTTTATGTCTGATATTTTTTCTCTAGTAGCTGGTAGCTCTTACAACGTATATACCTATGTAACATAAAATATACATGGCTACCAAATTCGGGGAGAGAATACACAAAGACGAAAGCCATTATGATCTAATATTCAGTAGTATGCAGGAAGAAATATTTCCTTTTCTTCAGAACTCTATTTGAGCAATGACTTTTTAGTAATTAACTATAGTCAGGGTGCTTGATCACAAACGTGTCAGTGGGAAAGCAATCCAGCAGAGAAAAGACAGAAAGGAAATGGTATCATAACAGAGGGCAATCTGCTTTAAACCACAATCTAAAAGAATTGGGGAAAAAAAATTAACAACCATTTAATATCACAGGACAAGACTGACTCTTAGGGCAGAGGTATTGAATAAAGCAACATCAGCCCACCTCTCTCATATTGTATGCATACTGAATAGTAAAATAACCACACGAGTGTCTTGTCTTGGCTAACCATGTTCTCCTAAAAGTCTAGGCACAAACATGGAAGCAGTTAGGTTATAACCTTGGAAAAGCATACACCACACTGCACACCTCTGCCTGAAGTACCTTATACTAAGAAGTGCATTAACAAAATAAATCCCCAGAACAGAGGCACAGAAGATGTTGAGCTACTTTCCTGCTGCTGAAGAAGAGCTGGGCAAGGGCAGGTGTGAAGGAGTTGGCAAGAGCACTCTCCTCAGCCATGAGCAGTGCTGTATTCCAGCCTAAGAGGGTTTATAGGCTAGGGAGGCTCCTTCTTATACAGAGAATAAGTTAAATCAATAAAATATGTTTTGCCCAGCTTTTCAATTACTAACAAGTTATTTATTTGCTAGTCACAAAATAGCTTGGCTTGACCAAACATGCTAATGAGGTTTTCTACAAATACTAGGCAGCTCAGAGCTACTCAGTAGCAATCAGAAAGCACAGTCTGCAGGTGTGCAGGCAATCATCCAGTGAACCCCCTTAACAATCACAGGATTGTTCTTTACCTGCTGTCAGTCATACAGCCCAGCTCCAAAGCCACAGCAAGGCAAATCCTACCACCTCTTAGGGAGGCAAAGAAGTGCTTCTTCACAAAGAAGAAGTACTTACTGCTGGTCAAAGAATACTTTAAAAAATTTTTTTTCTTGATTCTCATGCTATAACTCCTAGATGTAGTGTCATGTCCTCTGCTGAGTATTTTTTCCTTTTCCCTTCAGTCCTCAATTACTCAGACATAAACAATTGTCTCATTCCACCATATCTCCTCATCACATAGGTACTTAAAATCTATACATTTTCACAATGTTTGCCTTTACCCCTAGTTCTAGGTTAGAAGGATATTTAGAATTTTGGTGTGAAAACTATGGACTGTTTGACTCCTGTATTGCACGGGATGTAACTCCATTACCAAACTATGTGGGGGTAGATGTTGGTGAAGATGCTGCTCAGCTGCTATCACATCACAGGACCAGGAACACATAAAAAGGTGCTGATGGGATGGTTGTGACCGTTTTGGTCCCTCCAGTAAATCTGCACATGCTGTGCACTTGTGTCAAGCAAGCAGAACCTAAACAGCTGAGAGGCAGAACTGTACTCCTTGTACAATGGCTTCATGTAGCTTTCTTTTTCTGGGATCCAGTTTCACCTTTGCTAAATATACATAATTCCATTTCTGCAAAGAGTCATACTGTTAGAGACTATGAGCATGTACAAGTTTAAGATCATACAAATGTGTCCAAGGTTTAAAAATTAATTCCTTTCTCTATGCTTTTCTAAAGCTCTCATTATCTTCTGATCCTTTGCACAATTTTGAGATATGGTCTATGCAGGCCATCATTAATAATTAAATTTGTCTCTCTTCTTAGGATAAGCATGGAGCAACTGTCACAGAAATTAAGTTAGAAGATCAAATTCAGAGCTTCCCTTAAAACTGCTGAAAACTCACTTTTTCAGTATTTCTACTTTGTACATGTTTTTGCCGCTAATATTGGTGCTGGAATTGAAACTGGGGAAACATGGAGTGGCTACTGCCAGGTTGAAGAATATGTAGAGATTTGTGGGCTATTTCCAGATCTCATAGTGGTGACATATATTTGCAAGTAAAGCCTTCCCTCTTCAATCCTGGAAGTGAGTTTGCTCGGATGCAGTTAAGCATCTGGGTCAATGAGAATGGGTACACTTATTAAAAGCCTGCCACTTAATAAAAGAGGTTTGTGAAAGCTGCACTGAGCCAAGAAATTGTTCAGTGTTATCTTGCTATATTTTCTAGAGAAGTTATGAACATACTTGAGCTATCTAACACTGCTTAGATCATCTTCCTGTTGGAAATTACTCAGGCACTCGTATAATAAAACCGTCACTTAAAGCATTATCTAGAGATTTTTTTGCCTCAGCCTCTTTAAAGATAACTAAAAGTAAATAGTTATTGCCACACATCAGATGTTATCCTACATTATAAATTTCTCACCAACACACATTGTATATAATTGCAGGGCTAAAGCTTTTTCTTTTCCTGTCGTGTTCTTCTTAATATATTTTGCATACTTATGTAATGCTTTAATAACCAATCCCTCCTTCTACTGTAAAAATATGAGACAGAAAAGATGACAGAAAAATAAAAGGGGAAATGCATGTAATTTCTGTCATCTTCTAAATGGAGAGCATTTTCATTAAAACCGACAGGCTGTCAGCTGTGACAAAGCCGAAGTGTTGAGTGTTCTGCCTTCTGTACTTCAAAAAGTGTTTAGAAATGCACGAGGATGAGGATCGACAAGCTCTTATTGCCCTGTTGATCTAGAGGAATGCTTTCTTCTTGAGGGGCATTTAATTTAATCGCTCTTGCTTTGCTGTAACAAAGTTTAATTTTTTTGACTCACCTACTTGTTATGCCAAATAAGGATTTTATTTAATGGAACATCTTTTCAGATAAACTGAAGCTTTTTGTTTGTTTGGCTGTTAGAAGGCTTCAAGGGAGGAAGGCAGAGAAGCCTCCTTCACAACAATTAAAAAGAACACTGTCAAAATATAGCTCATAATTCCCATTTATTATTCCTTCTCAGTAGTGTTTGTATTAATGCCTTGAAAACTTGATTATAATAATTTCAGCATCTGATTTTCAGAGACATTGAAAGCTTACATCTTTTTTGGCTTTTAATGCCTTGAAAAGTTTTGGTGCCTTTGAAAATCTGGCCCAATATCTGTAGTATGTATTTCATTCAAAGTGTTCAAGGCATGTTAGGAGCCCTTAGTACCTTTTGCCTCGGTGAGGTGAGCCACCATAGTAAGGTATTAGTATTTAAAATTTAAATGTTTTACAGAGAAGCTTACTGAGATACATGGACTAATGTACACAAGACAGTGAAATAACAGAGAATGGAACCCATAATTCTTTCTCTAACATCCCATCTGTCATTAATACATAACTTTGCCTCACTGTGAGACAGAAAAAAAAAAAATGTAGATCCAAGGAGCAGAAAGACCATTAGAGTAATTCATTCTCACCTTTAATGCTTCACCCATTAACTCCTGCATCAAGTCCATATCAGGTATTTAAGCTATAGCTTTTTTAGAAAGACATTAGTCATGATTAAAAATTTCTTCTAAGTGGAGAGCTTGTGATATCCCTGGGTGAATTATTCCAACAGTTAATTATTCTCAGTTTTGAAAGCTAGTGTATTGTTTGTGGTCTATCTGGCTTTGACCCCAGCTGTTGGATCTTACTGTGCCTTCATTAAAGATTTCCTCTGCAGTCAGAAATCTTCTGCCCATTTAAGTACTTACAGAGCATGAGGAAATTACCTCTTAAATCATCTTTCTCCTAATTAGTTATACAGATTGAACTTCCTAAATCATTTACGGTGAATTATTCATACCTTGAAATATTTCTGTAGGTTTTTTCCCAACACCTTAACAGCTTTTTGAAGTTCTTTTTCAAGTTTGGATAATGCACATAAGTTCAATAATGGTTCTGGTAGTAGTGAAAGCAAAATGTCACCCTTCTCTTCTATACAAGTTTTCCTTCCACTTAGTCATCAAGGAATTACAGTAGTCCTTTTACTAATGGTAACTATCTTCAGTTATTAATTGAAAATTATGATCTCCTTTTCAGAATCGTGGACTTAGATAACAGTTTTCCCTCATTCTGTAGATATAACCTATTGTCTGTCTGTCTTGACATTAGAATTGGCTGTATGAAAAACTAAATGTTCAAATCAGACCTCTTTATCACACAATCCAATCTCCCTATGGAACTGACCAAACTGTATCATCACTTACCATTACACCAACATTTGAACAGTTTGCATACTTTATTGACATGTGTTTCTTTAAATTTCTTTCATTAATTGAAACTTTATCTTTTCATCTGAGATATTACCAAACCACTTGTTTTGAAGATACGTATTTTGAAGTAGTGAGACCCTGAAGAGAGCAAACAGGGAAGAGGGGGAGGAAACTGGGTCATACCTAAGCTTGACCAACCTGAACTAAGGGCCCCAAATCCCATGACATTTTAGAAACACACCCCTAATTTTACTACCTACTGGCTAGTGCCCTAAATAACCTAGTGACTTCATTAAATCTGAACTGCATTAGCAAATCATGTGTTCATTTCTCTAAGTGAGTAGAGGTCACATTAACAATTATGAAATTGCTCTTATGTAAGGTTTTTAATGCTTTCCATTAGACTGTATAATATCAGAGATTAAAATAAAATTTTACAGGTCTGAGTAATAAGTTAAAATAATTCTGTTTAGGTTTCCTATGTGAAATTGTTCTCATGCATAATTCATAAGAAAATGTGAACACTTTCCTGTCAAATTAGTGCATAATATTCTTGTATGAAAATGAGAAGACTTTAAAACTGTAACATTAATTATTCTTTCAGCATGCCTTTTTCTCCCAGTATGCTGTTAGTCTTTAAATAGGGGTAATGTTATCCTCAAGATGGTTTAAAAAATCATATTTGATTTTCACTTTGATGGAAACACATCTAACAGCATTATGTTATTGAAGTCTAAATTGGGTTGATAGAAATTAAGAGAACAGATGGCTGTTCTAATCATGTGCCAAATGACAATATAGAACAAATAAACTTTTATCAGCTATACTTGTCGCTTCTGCTGGATAGA